GGCGCTAATCCAATCACCGAACGCGCACGGCCATTCTCGACGTAAGGCCTTCTAGCTGGCCCTAGTACGCAGACAAGTCAGATCACGAGTCTGAGACTCGTGAACTGATTGGCTATTGAAACCTGACTGTGCCCGTTCACTTACAGCGCACAGGGGCCTGCTCTGTTTAATCTGAAGGCCCCGAGCAAGTTTAATTTACCTGGCAACACAAGCTAGCTGCGATATGATTGGTTAAAAACTCTTCCATAATAAATAAGTTATTTATCGAGTGGCTTTCAATGTTATTTAAAATAACATTGAAAGCCACTCGACTAAGTGGAAATAATATGATGTAAAGAATACAGAGAATAATTTTGTTTACATATTTATGAAAATAAAATAACAATGTTATTCTCAGAAAAGTAAATTTACTTTTCTGAGAATTTTTAGGCCAGCAGAGAAGGCCTTGCTGGCCCTGAGGGTCCGCCACTGTCTGCCCTTTATCTATGATCACGATATCTGGTTGGTTCGCCATTACCATCTTGTCAGTCTGGATCTGGAAGTCCCACAGGATCTTCGCTCGGTCAATCTCCACCACCTTCTTAGGTGTTTCCCATTTTGACCTTGGGGTTTCCAGTCCATACTCCACACAGATGTTTCGGTAGACTATGCCAGCCACCTGGTTCTGGCGTTCTATGTCAGCTTTCCCTGCCAGCATCTTACACCCTGCAGTTATGTGTTGGATCGTCTCAGGTGTTTTAGCTTAGCTCAAACAGCATTTTCTCCGTGGCGTAAGACTTTTGCACAGCTCTGAGATGTTAAATGTTGCCCTTAATCATGAGATAATTCGAGTCTTTCAGTAAGTCGGTAATTATTTACTTGCACTTTCTGCGTGCACAGAAATATAGTCCACGTTGGAAAATTTGTTTCGTATCTTATAATATACAATATAGAAATACCAAAAATGTGTCATTTAGAGTTACATCAACGAAAAAGATACTATTGTAATATACTGGTGTTTCCTGTGTGGATGCAAGCTATTTAATTCCCCTGGATAGAAATCAAACAGTATATTTAATTAAGGCCCTAGCTGTATCAACTCAATTTGGAAAAGGGCAGATTAGTTAACGGTCCATAAAAAGGATTCATATTTCGAGGTTAAAAAAAAAAAAATGCATTAGATTTAGAAGAAATGAACAGGGGGAGACAACAATTGAGTCAAAACTGAGCTCATGCAGTCGTACATCGTCATTTGTCAGATGGACACACGCACACACGCACGCACACACACACACACACACACACACACACACACACACACACACACACACACATACACACACACACAACCTGGGTCCCCCGCCAACCGTTGAGAGAACCAGGAGAGCCTCTCGTCTTTCTAGTGCGCTCGGTAACAACACAAGGGATGACAGTTCTCTGAGAAAAAATTGCAACATGGTTTCAAATAGCACTAAATGTTTCCCATATCTTAAATGTAAATACTTTTTTGAGGTTCTGCTCCGTGGCAGGTCGACACAACATTATCTTTCGACATTTGATGGTCACTGCGCGGGACGGCTCGATAACACTTTTACATAACCGATACTGCAGCCTCAAGGATCGGTCATGACTGATTCTGTAACAATGCGATTCTTTTTGTCACTTTAAAATCTGTTTTTTAAGATGTGGATGTAATTTGCTTGAGAATGATATCTAAAAACACCAGAGATGGGTTTCGTGAATTCGGTGAGTCCGTCAGTATTTCAGGCCAGCGCAGTCAATTGAGTCGTCGGCGACAGCCAAACGGTATCAAGAACGGATTTACCGTTATTACGTCACATACAGGTGCCTCATACACGAAAGAAAATACAAAATCGCATAAAATACAAATATAAACAATGTTGTACACACATGTGCCATTTAGTTCAGCAATCACCACGCTGGGCATATGTCTCTTGTTTCATTGTGTAATCTAATGTTAAATTATAAATGATTATCATTTTATGTTTGAGTATTATATTCTTTCATGTTAAGGTTACCTAAATTTTATTCTGTTTAATAATTGCTTAAACATGTTTATGATGATAGCGTCCGATTGGCTGAAAGAAAGCAGGAAATGATTTTAGTTTCCGGTAGTTGTGCTCCCGAACGTGCTGCGATGCAGATGTCTTTTTTTCTCCTTTCAATAAAACTGCATTCAAACGATTCCATCTCTCTTTTTGCTGTTCGTAAAGTAGAGCTATCCACTAAAAACAACGAACCCCTCAACTTACAATTGTATTGTTTTTCTTCATTTGGCTGCGTGTCAATTTGTGCGGAGCCTGTGTTGACGTGGATATTGTGTTCTGGACATCGATTGTCTGTTGCGGACAAGGGACGTACTGTGCCCTCGGATATCGAACCATCCCTCGTCACCGAACTGACTATGGGATGGATTTTAGGAGGAATTGTCACAAAGTGAACATGAACATATTGTAGACAAAGAAATGGAAGAATTGAAAAATGGTGAAAAAGATGGCAATGCTCGGTTGTTGAACATTCAAGTGAAGAAAAAAAAAGGAACTAATTCTGGTCTACATGCCAAGCTGGGAATCAAGGTGGGGTGTCAGCTAAAAATGTCATCAGTATGACCCCAGCACCTGCAAAATGTGCTGTATGATGACATCAAATCTTGCTTTGAACTGTTCCTGACTGTGTCTATTGTAACCACTGTGGTAAATGTGACCAACTTGGAGGAGAAAAGATGATTCCTAACCCAGACAAAGGCGTACGTCTTTTAAATTAAACCGGTGTCTCCAGATCCAGAAACAATCTACCAGCAGTTTATGGAATTCAGAATGTGGTCAGACTACTTTTCAGGCCAGAAATAAGAGAAAGTGGTGCAATCTGTGTTTAGCAAACAATATCAAAATAAGTAGAGTATGGCATTATTGCAATGCATATGTTTGTTAAATACACGCAACAACCTGCACGTATTGTCCTGAATTAACATGAGAAAAAAAATACCACTGAAGTTTAAGTCAACACAAACGGTCCTGCATGGTTAAGCCCTCTCCGTCTGGCTATTGGACTGTGGATGGTAACCTGATGACAGACTTGAAGATGTTCCCATGGCCTTACTGAACTCCTTCCACACCTATTGATGAAAATTGGGCCCTTCGGTCCGATATCCTATTAGAAGGAATGCCATGGATGCGAAACACATTATTTATAAGCAGATTGGACGTCTGCAGTGATGATCACAATTTTGTCAAAGGAATGAAGTGGACCATCTTGGAGAAGTGGTCCACCACACTCAGGATAACAGAGTTGCCGCATGACAATGGCAGACTAGTGACAAAGTCCAGCGCAGTGTGAGACCGTGGGCGCGAAGGAAGAGGCAACGAATGAAGAAAACCAGCAGCCAATTTGTCATTTAGACAATGACATGCCACTTTTCTTTCATGTCCCCAATGCAGCGCTTCTGTCCTTAACAAGTGAGGCACGAACAGCACTTTGCATGTCTCCATTCTGTTTTTTTGAAAAAACCCATTTGTGTGAATTTGAGTGTGATTGGTTGTTAGTCTTTTTGTCCCCTGCAATTGGCTGGTGACCATTCCAGATACACCCCACCTCTTGCCAAGCTGTTCAGAAAATATCGGGATTGATGTTCAGTTTGTATAAATGGCGTTGTTTTCAATTACAGGGAACGTTTTCTCTATGCCCAGCAGGGGGCAGTATTGATCTACATATTATAATTTAAGCTTCAGCAGAATTTATTCAAATTGCTCATTTTAACGCAATGTACATGTCTATAATTAGAAAAAGTGAAACAAAAAAACATGAATGTACGCCTGAACAAAAATCTGGATTTTTTTTTTGTCTAATCATTATGGGGTTATTATGTTTGTTCTTGTCTCATCATTATCAATACATTTATCTGCTTATTGACAAGATGAAGTTATTAAAGCCCTACGTATAAAATTGTTACTGAATCCACAAATGACAGACACTACATTGACATTTGTGCCAGCGTTTACCTTGATTTACACTTAATTGTAAGCGGGTGGTTTTCACCGCATGTCAGCTAAGGGGTTTGCATTTTTTCGCTCGTCACTATACCCATAGTCTGTTGTGTGGTCACAATACTCTCAGGTCTTGATCTGGGGGTGAAAATGGGAAGACGTTCTGGAGGCTCCCAAATCTTAGAGGTCCCCACTGTGAATGCCACCCCTACCCCATCGTCCTTATAATTTATGTATACTGTATGTCACAGCAATAACTCTTGACGTACTTACAAATTGAATGTGAATGATTGTAAAAGTGCAAATGGGCATTACAAATTCTGACAGACTGGCTTGGGCTGTATTTTTTACTCTCTGTTACAATAAATGTTTTCAGTTTCATGTCTTGGTATGACAAGAGTAAAGCATTTAATGTGAGGAACACTAAGTGACAGGAAATTCATTAAGGGGCTGCTGTTTAACAGACGTTTTCCATACAAGTAGAAAACATAAATGTACACCCAGGTCAAATAAGAGCTTTAATTAAATTCAGATTAAGGTACACTACAACTCTGTTAATGGCTCAGAACAAATTATGTTACTGTTTTTGTAGTTGTGCTTTTTTTTAACATAGAAGGTTCCTCTGGTGGTATTTCGCAACCAAACACAGTCACTTCATAACCACAGTTGATCTTGATGTAAGAAGCACAAAAATGTTGACTACTGACCAACCAAACCAATTCACGCTTGAATCTTTAATACACTTTAAGTTAGAGCTTCAATTCCTCCACCGTCTTGATGTGAAGGAGAAACTTACTACTGTTGTTAATTCAAGATAATTCTCCATGAAAATATGAACAAGATGAAAGGTGAAGTATAGAACTTAACAAATTAACTGCAATAAAAGCATTTTTTGGGGGGCGGGGCAATAGAGACAACGAGGCATTGAGTTGGTGTAATTTCTACCCTTTTTTTGTTGTTGTTATTGTTGCTTTTAACTAATTGGCCAACATACTGCGACATACACTTTAACCTCCCTCATATCCGTTTGGTTCTCAGTATGCAAAGGTGAAAAATTTGTCAATTAGACACATTATAAGACCATGCAACAACCACATAGGGGCACTCTGGGAAATGCGAACAGTTCAAATACACAGAGGAGACATCTAAATGACAGCAGGAATACACGGGTAGCATTTGGTAGATATTAGATTGACATATTTTTGTTTAAAAATGACATTTTTTTGTGTTACATGACATCCAGAAATCAGTTATTTTAAAATAGCCCCACCCCAAAAAAAAAAATCAGTACATCACCATTGTTGAGCCAAACCGTCTCATTTAATGTCACGGTATGTGTTTTTGAAGGAAGATTTCAGTATTCTCAGATTTTTTTTCAGATTTTCATTTTGATTTGTCAATGCTTGTCCCGCATGCCCTTGCTGTCAAGGAAACATTTTCTTGTGACTGCTTTTAAAAGTTACCCGTGTAACAGTACACTTTCACCCCACTGTAAGACATCATAACAAAATAACAGTTGTGTTATTTACACCAACAATAAACACTTTCAGTCACCGGTCTCCTTCAAGTTCTTGATTGCCAAGGTTGAAAAAGGCTTGATTCTCCATCATGAAGACCTTCAGAAACTTTCTTACTTCCTTCACAAATTCCTCCAGTCCCTTCTTTCTGTGATGTATTAATCCTCTGTATTGATTGGACTCTGTTTTATGTTCCTGCGAGAAATAAAACAAACATGTACAAGTACATCTCATAAATGACAACTTTTCATGAAAACGAATAAATGTGACACACCTGAAAATATTGACAGATTATTTACCCAAGACATTAAACAATATTTGTTTAGATATTTTATGCCTTGATGCTTGCAGCCTAGGTACTGCACCTCTTCAGCCACTCCAGGATGTTACATGTGTCGTACAAGCAGCGGCCAGGGAGTTTGCTGTGCAGACCATATCAAGAGCACAGGGGGTTGGGGGGCGGGGTGCTTCAGCCTATCCCAGTTGTCTTCGGGCAGTAGGCAGGGGACAGGAACTGGTTGCCAGCCAATCACAGGGCACACAGAGACAACCACTCACTGCTCACAATCACACCTAGGGACAATTTAGAGTGTTCCCTTAACCTACGCCACGTGTTTTTGGAATGTAAGAGGAAACTGGAGTACCCAGAGAAAACCCACGCAGGCACGGGAAGAACATGCAAACTCCACACAGGAAGGCCGGAGCCGGGATCGAACCCACGACCTCTGCACTTTGAGGTTGACGCGCTAACCACTCAACCACTGGGCCGCCAGGCAGGATATGTGTTAGAATACATTGTCTGTCTTCAGTAGTCCACAGGGTGGCCCCTCCCTCTGATGTGTTTTGTGACCTTTCCCTTAATTCAGTGTGGGCTGGGCGTCTCCCCAATCATTGCACCTGTCCCACCTACACACCTGCCAGTCTTCACCTCGTCAGCAACACTCACCCCTTGCAGCATAAAGGCCAGTCTGAAGAGCCACTCATTGCCAGTTCGTCAGCTATCTTCCCTGCCATCCTCTCTGCTGCCCAGATGTTACGTTCAAGCCTTCATGTACACCTCGATTTGGTTCCTCTGACTGCTTTTGGTTCCTGCCTCCTCGACCTATCCATCTTCCTGACAATAAACCAGTTCTGGGTTCATTGTGTCTGCCTGTGGGTCCTGTGCTCATCTCAAGCGAAGCTTAACAATATGGCTCTCGAAGAACCGGAGTTGCCTACCCCTGCTATAGGGCAACAACCCAATAGCAGGCTCGCTACCACCTCATTTGTGATAGGAGGAACATGTTCATGCACATGTTATAAGCTGAAACCCTGCTCATATGACCAGTGATTGGCTGGCGACCAGTTCAGGGTGTCCCCCGCTTGCCACTTGAAGACAGCTGGGATAGGCTCCATCATCCCCACAACCCTCATGAGCAAACTTGATGAAAACTGCGCTGCGAGTCCGATGCGCTAATCAGTCAACCACCAGACTGCCAAAATTTTTACATACAATATTTTGGGGTGGGGTGGTTTTCATGTCAATAAAATCACCATTGAAATACTCAATGTTCTGTTTGCTTGGGTCATCTTTGTCTGATATTTGATGGTATAAAATATGATATGGTGAAACTTTGCCAAAAAGAATAATTTTGGATCGGTTAAAATACTTTATCATCACAGTATACCTTCATGGTTTAAATAAATAAATACATACATACATACATACATATATACATACATACATACAAACATACAGCATATACATACATACATACATACAGTACATACACACAAAAATGAATGAAGAAGAAAAAAAATATAGCATTGACTGATCTTGTCCTCTCTTGGATAGCAGTTTTGCGCCAGAAAAACACTTAGAACTTAGAAGGATAAAAAACAAAAAAAAGTAAAGGCTTCTGAGCAAAATTGCATAAAGTCTGCAATTTCCCAGGTGCTGGCTTTATGCCAGCAGAAAATCAAAGCTCAGTAACATCAGTTGCACTGAGACGAGGGAGCCACACTCAGCTGGTAACTTTCTCTCGAATGTAAACATTTTTATTTTTCTGCAAGTTCATGTTATCGGTACCAAGTATTTTTTATTATTATTATTTTTTTTATTATCGTTTTTTAAAGATACACTTGCCATTCTGGATTGGCAGGCAGTGTGGACCAAATTGACTCGTAAAAGTGCTTTTACAGTGGGAATGTGAAGGCACGAATTTAGTGGTCACACCCTCTTTTGTACATCGCTAGTAAATTTGCATCATGCCTTATTTCACAGGAAACTGTATCACTGTGACATGAATTTTTTTTCCAACCTTAATAGAAACAGAAAACAGATTTTAAAGGGATAAATATGTATGTATGCAGTCACTCTAGAGCAGTGGTCCCCAACCTTTTTTGCCCCACAGACCGGTTTAATGTCAGACAATATTTTCAGGGACCGGCCTTGAAGATGTGACGGATAAATACAACAAAATAATATGATATGACCTGCATGAAAACTGGTATCTTCGAAACATAATAATAAACACGAATCACGACACAAGGAACGTGCTGTCCGGCCGCAATGCTCTCTGGTTGCATTGGTAACGTTTAAATGTGCCTTCAAAATAAGATACAAAGTGCATGAAAAATACGACTCACCATCGCCGCATATCGTGTAGAGTGGGTTTAGTGCGTAGGAATCTCCCGTTGAGATAAATCCGTATTTGATTCTGTCTATTAAATGTAGCTTTCTTTTTCTTGAAAGTCGTAGGCTCCTCTTCTGTCTCCTGCTGGGCCTTTTCCCCTTCCCAAAGAAACTTTCCAAAGACGCTTGTTGTTTACTCATTTTGCTAGCTCACAGGTTTCATTTTAGCAGTAACCTATCACGTGACCAAGAAGCACACCTTGACCTGTGTCAAAAGTGACATACTGTAGACCAGGGGTGTCAAACTCATCTTTTGTCGCGGGCCACTTCGAAGTTACGGCTTCTCTCGGAGGACCGATGCAAAATCTCAACGTTATTTATTACCCATGACAATTGGAAATTTCGGTACAGATTTCAGCAAGGATCATCAAAGTTGACACACATGATTTGCTCCTGCGGGCCACATAAAATGACGTGGCGGGCCAGATGTGGCCCGCCGGGCCTTGACTTTGACACCTGTGCTGTAGACGAATGTAACAGAGGATCCAGTAATTTTTCAAAATAAAACATATTTCAGATTCCGAAATAAATAAAACGGAAGTAATGTGAGTGATTTATTCTTTCTGTGTGGCCCGGCATCAAATGACCCACGGACCGTACCGGTCCGCAGCCCGAGGGTTGGGGACCACTGCTCGAGAGCATAAGTCACATTTTTGTTTTTACAAAAACCGAGACCAAGAATAGTAGATCTGGTTGGATTTGAAACTTGTGCTTTGCATCACATTATGGCCAAAGGCAGAATCTTGGATGGTTATTTCGCCTTAGTTCAACTGAAGATCTTAAATTGCATGTACGCAGGTGTGATTATTTGTCCATGTGTTAGTCTGGTGACTAACTGGTAATATTTTCATTCACCATGAATACAACACAGAGCCATAATTAGAAGGTGTGGAGTATGTATTTACCTGTTAGAGTGGTTCAGGGAAGGTTTGTCTTGCGTCATAGGTCATATCAGGCATGTAGGACTCATGGAGATCAGGCTCTAATGGAAGAGTGTCCAGAGGCAGGTCAGCATAGCCATAAGGAGGGTATGGACCATCTAACTCTAAAAAGGTAACAGAGAGAAGGGCATGTTTTACCTTCTGAAAAAAATGGTCTCCTTTGGAACATACCATGCCCTAATACTGTACATTTCAGTGTGTCAACCACTTAAATGGATTGATGCTGCATCAAACAGAAGCCTATTTTTTTTGCCCTCAGGAGGAAAAAAATACTAAGTTCTCTACGGGGCAGAAAATACTTTTTACTGTGATTTGATATCAGCATGATCTGATTTACATGTAATTACCACAACACGGATGGAAACAAATTAAAAGCACTCTCCTGTCATAAAAAAAAAAAAAAAACACTCAAAAATATAAGTGGAAGTATGGGAATTTATCTCTCCATCTTTCCATTTTGTTCAACGTAATCAGGTTTGGGCAACAGATTAAGAAGGGAAGCCCAGACTTTCTTTTCCCCATCCACTTCGTACAGCTCTTCCAGTGATATATTCCTCTATCCAGGATGAATTGGGTTGTCCCAGGGGCCTTTTCTCATTGGGACATCCCCATAATACATCACAAAGGGGGCATCCAGGAGCCACCCTAAAAAGATGCCTGAGACACTTCATCGAGCTCTTTTTGATGTAGAGCAACAGTGGCTTTGCTCTGAGGCTCTCCCAGAAGCCTCTTACCTCACTAAAGGAAGGTCCGCACACACAGCAGGCAAGTTATTTTCGGCTACTTATCACATACTTTGTTCTTTTGGTCAAGAACCTAAACTCATGACCAGAGGTAAGGATGAGAACATAACTCGAGGACTTCACCTTCTTCAGCACACAAGACCTATGGGAAGCCCGCATCACGGCAAACAATGCACCAATCTGCAAGTCAATTTCATTCTCCTTTTTTTCCTCACTTGAGTACAAAACCCCAAGATACTTGAACTCCTGCATTTGCTCAGGACCATGGCCACAGATTTGGAGGAACTAACTTGCATCCGAATTGCTTCAGACTCCATGAACTGCTTCAGCGAGAGTTGATGAAACCAAAAGAACCACATAATCTGTGAAAAGCAAAGACATGAAGAAAGTGAGGAAAACAAAGCAGATCCCTTCAAGGTCTGGGCTGCGACTAGAAAATCTATCCATAGAGATTATGAACAGAATTGGAATGAAAGGGCAGCCTTTGGATTCTAACATTTACTGTTGATGAATTAATGTTAACTGCTGGCAATGTGGCTCAAACTCACCAACTGTGAAAGGGACCAAAGAGTCATTCTCATGGGTGTGATACCCAATACTCGCAGATCACCTCCCACAGGACTAGCCAAGGGACATGATCGAACAATTTCTCCAAGTCCACAAAGCACAGATCGGTTTGGTGAACTCCAATGCATTGTCTAGTATCCTGCTGAGGATGTAGAGTTGGTCCATTGTTTCTAGGCCAGTACAAAAATCTCACTGCTCCTCTTGAATCAGAGATTTTACTTCTCAATGGACCCTCCTCCTCTCCAGTTCGCCTTCTGAAAATACCACCCAAGTTTCCCAATCCAGAAACACTTTCCCCATGTGTATGTGATGTTGCTGACACTTGTAAATGAAACAGTCCTACAACATTCTGGGCAAATCAATCCAGCCCTGGTGCTCTGCTGCAAGGAGATTTTTAACACTCAAGGTGACCTCAACCCCAGAGACAAGAGAGCCCACCTCAGAGTTCCCAGACTCTGCCTTCTCAAGGGAATGTCTGTTAGTGGAATTAATGGAGGTTTTCAAACTATTCTCCCCATTGACTCACCACAGTCCAAGTTGAGGTCAGCAGCGCCCCTTTGCCCACTATACACAGAGCTGATGGGGCAGCTGTGCCTCAGGAGCTAGAGAGGGTCGTCCAGTAACCAAAAGGTTGGCTATTTGATTCCTTCTCTATCTGAGTCAGGTGTCATTATGTCCTTGGACATGACACCTAACTCACATTGCCTCTGGTGTCACTTACACTGGTGTACGGCAGGGTGTGTTTGGTGATGGTCGGATGGGCCGTATACTGGCATCCATGCTTCCATCAGCCTGCCTCAGGGCAGATGTGGCTAAGGAACATAGTTTACCACCACCAGAGCATGAATGTGTGAGTGCATGAATAATGGATCCATTGTGTGGAGTGCTTTGAGTGTGTCCAGGAATGCCTTATATACATCAAACGGATGCTTTATTATTATTTTTATCCATTCTTTCATCCATTTATCTTCACGAGGGTTGCGCGCATACTGGAGCCGATCCCAGCCTTCTTCGGGCAGTAGGCGGGGTACAACCTGAACTGGTTGCCAGCCAATCGCTGGGCACACAACCTTTTGCACTCACAATCACACCTAGCCTGCCATGCATGTTTTTGGAATGAGGGAAGAAACCGGAATACCCGGAGAAAAGCCACGCAGGCACGAGGCAGAACATGCAAACTCCACACAGGAAGGCCGGAGCAAGAATCAAATCCTGCACCTTTGCACTGTAAGGTGACGTGCTAACCAGTCGACCACCATGCCGCCACATTATTATTATTATTATTATAATATTATTATTATTGATCATGTACTGCTTTGCTCGTCTGACACGCCAGACCATAACTCCATCGAAGTCGTCTGTAAGTTATTCTCCATGGCCTCACTGAACTCCTACCATGCCAGGGTTTTTGCCCCAGTGAGCACCAAAGCTGCATTCCGCTTGAATTACCGACACCAATCAACTGTGTCCTGAATCCCACAAGCGAAAAAGGCCTAAGAAGACTCCTTATTGCAGGCACTGACCACTTTACAGCTCCAGTCTGCTCACCAAGAGAAATATAAAATGGCCCACAAGGACTTAATGTTTCCTCCAGTAACCTGAATATTAAAATGTTCTGTTGGAGTTGGGAGTTGAAACTCTTTCTCAAAGGGGATCCTACAAGACATTTCCATAAGACCTGCACAATAAATTTTTGGGTCTGTCAGGTCAGGCTAGCATTCTTCAGAACAAATCAATCACCAGGTGGTCATCATTTGACAGCTTTGTCGGTCTCTTCACATGCATGTCTGATGACACAGCCTGAAAGTTAATCATCAAACCGTGTTCTTGGGTACCCAAGTGTCAAATGCACATTCGGAGATTCTCATGTTAGAACATGGTGCTTGTTATTGTCAATCCATGAGGTGCACAGAAGTTCAATAACAGAACATGACTGGGCTTCTGGTTGAGTGGACATTTCCTCCCAATCACATCCTTCTGCGTCTCACTGTCATAACACGTGAGCATTGAATTCATCTGAGAGGGAGTCCTCAGGTGGAATTCCCTACTGCACCCACTCCAAGGACTGCTCTGAGCTTCTGTTTGGTACACAGGAAAAATCAACAGTCAGCTGATGGTGAACGGGTGTTTCCCTATTTTCCACTGGGTTAACCTCAATGTACAGGCACAGCGGTGAGGCAATACGGAGACCCACACATGCTCGTCACTTGTCACAACTTTAGTAGTTGGGGATTGGACTGCCCAGGCTTCGGCCGCCACCCAACTCACTATATACCAGATCCCCTCAGCCCCACCAACAGGTGGAGACCCACGTTACTCGTTTGGTCTGTGCTCGACCAGGCCTCATAGATGGAAGTCCAACTACGAGCCTCTCACCATCAAGCGCCGCCTCCAGAGTGGAGTTTCGGCGGCCTACATCATCGCGAGGGAAAATGACATTCAATATTTATTTATGTTTTTGTCATTGGGGTGGTTTCTGAACCGTGTTTTGTCTGGTCCCTCACCTAGGGACACCTGTCAGGGGAATAAAGCCACAGACAACTTAGCTCCTAGGATCATTCGTAACACAAAATGTACTTTTGCTTTTTCAATAAATTGGACAGGAATTAACAGAAAGAGTATAACTACACAAAGAGCTGAATTTAATTTACATTAAACTCATAGAAGAGCATTGGTGGCTGTTAATTTTACAATGAAAATCCAGATATTAGATCCATAATAAGCTTTCAGAAACTATTTACCAGCTGTTTGTAAACATCCTTCCTTTCACATTTGTTTAGGAATGTAATGAGTTCCCTAGACACGGCGGAATCACCATATTTTGTCTCATTTTGTAGCAATTTGAAAATTACTGACAAGTGACTGCAGGATGTCGATGTCACCAGATCTCAACAGATAAACGCCTTCGGTTGAAAGTGTTTTGACTGAATGAAAGGTGTTATTTGAAGGAGTGACACGGGAGCTATGAATTTATTTTCTACTGCACTGATATCAAATACCATGAGAACCTGTGTTTGCGTGTGTGTGTGTGTGTGTGCATGTGTGTGTGTGTGTGTGTGTGTGTGTGTGTGTGTGTGTGTGTGTGTGTGTGTGCGTGCGTGCGTGCGTGCGTGCGTGCGTGCGTGTGTGTGTGTAAAAGAGGATAAATAGAGAGGAGGCAGTAAGCAACGATGAAAAACAGAAAATACACATTTGTCACCTGGGACTGAGACTTCAGCTATATTTAAAGATGGATGAAAGAAGCAAAGTCTAGTGGAGGGAGGAAACACTTTCAGGTTGAGCAGAACAAAAATGGTTTCTTTCAGGACTGCAGTCTCTTATTCTTCTCTTGCTCGTCACTTTCCTCCAATGCTAACCTTTTTGTAGCTCATTTTAAATAAATACCGTGTAATAAATAGTGACGCTGTTTTAAAGACGACAAATTTCATTTTTGACTGTACATCATTAAAATGATTAGGGGAAAAAATCTCCAAGCAGGGTGTTTTATATTTAAATATTGACATATACATTGTACTTTATGCCTCCTTGCAGTGAGTGGCTACTTGAGGGGAGCTGCAGCGGCACACTGGTGCCTAATGATTGCGATGCTTGCTTCCATGCGCCTTGTTGTTAGTTCTTCTCGCTTAGTTCTCTGTGTACCTGATGACTATTACATTTTAGGTCCATGTGCTTAGAGTTTTTGTCTCCTGTGCACCCCCCCCTTCCCCAGACATCGTAAGTACATCATGAAACTTTAGAGTACATTGGTTGCTCTTTGTTTTTTTTTTTCTTCAACGGTGGTTAGTTGACTTGGC